ATTAAAATAATTATATATGTGATCACATATTATATATGTGATGTTGTTTGAATAAAAACTCTTATGATTTATGTATATTATATACACTAAATAGACTGATAATATAAGATTTTTATTAGGAATATGAAAGTTATACACTTGTAATTATATTATAAAAATATAACTTTAGCTTAAATCCAATGTTGAGAAAATCGAATTCTAAAACCTTGAAAATCCAATACAGAATAATGTAACTTTGAAACTAATATTATTGAATAAATAATGCAATAAATATTGAAGTATAATAATAAAGAAAAAATATCATTCTATGAATTATTAAGACTCAGAAAACTAAGTTATAACGTAAAACTACATGGAAATTAAATTATTATATGAGACTGAGTGTTGGAATAGAACACCTTACCCTGAACATATAAAAATGTCTTTAATCTTTTAAAATATTTTATAAATTTAATAAAAAATGGGAATTATAATTAAATTAAATAACTCGTTACTTATATGGTGTTTAAACTTTTAATTTAAAAGTTATAGTAAATTTTCTTTTAAATTCTAATTCATAATAATAATGTAATTTTTTTTCTAGTTACATTTAAACTAAACTAAATTAAACAATATACATAAGTTAATTTTTAACTGAACTGAACGAAACCTACGTGATCTGTTTAAATGTACCATAACAAACCAGTTTATGTCTAATCTATAAAAATGACGTTAAAAATGTTTGATAGATATATTTCCCACGTATTACTGAGTATTAAAAAACATTGAAGCCTCTATGTAATCTCAGTCTAATTTTCACAATTTTGAATTTTGTTTTGTTTTATTTGATGATTCCGACAAACGTGATTTTAACAAACATAATATGTTTGTTATTTTTATATTTTAAAAATATGGAAATATTCTTCAAATTTTTATTACATTTATCTACTTACTGGCTAGAAAAATAGTGTACAGTATCAGTTATACAAGAGTAATGCAAGTATTAAAATATGACCTCAGTTACAGTTGCCATGATAGAGGATAAAAAACCTTAATGATAAATATCATCATGAGAGCTGTTCTTATACCTCAAAGCTTTTTTATTTGTATTACTATAACGAAATGTTGTTATGGACTATTATTGATCCATAAATGGGCTTTCTTCTAATAAAGCCTATTCAAATATTTCATTTATTTAAGAGTAGCGCCCCGTTGAATTTACCTACGATATAAATATAATAAAGACTTAACATTAAGTCTCACAATTTTTTAGGATAAATAATATTTTCATATAAATTATATTAATAACTTATCATAATATGACATATTATATACTATGTAAAGTTTCCAACGTATAAAATATATACAGAGTAATTGATTTATCATTTAGCATTAAATTAATCGCCCTGTGTAATGAAAACTGTACAAAAATATCAAAAAGAATATATCAATGAGAGATCTATACCCTAATTCGTTCATATTTGATTACTAAAACAGTGTTTAAAAAATTTATGTGAAGAATCGTTAAATAAACTTGAGAGTTTCATAATTATAATTTTGGAAACATTTATCAAAATGTTAATTATGAATTATATTGCCAAGTAAAAATAGGATAAAATTTTATGCAACAGTTTATTAATGCTCTGAAGAACGAAGTGGAAACAGTGAAATCCAAGGGGTTAGAATTTTCATTATAATCGGTTTTTTTTTTAATTTGACGTCTTATCATTTGTTAAATAGTCAAATAATATTCAAAGATTCATATTTTTTTAAATTTAATATGAAAAAAAATGTATGGAGTATTAAATAGGTTTTTTGTACTTCATATTCCCGTAGGATAATAACTAATTGATTAGCAGAAGTGCATAGGCCAAACGATTACTAAAATGTCCAATACAAATTGTGTGATAAAACAAATAATTTAAAACTTATTGCCTCCAGTATGCCCAATTAAAATTTCTTTAGAATTAGTGTATTTTTGAAAAAGTTGTAACAAAATGAAAAAAGTGAATAATTTGTACAGAATGTTTTTGGTTTTTAAGTCAAAAACTCACAGCGATCTTTTCTACTATTTAGACCGATTTCTTATGGAAGAAAAACTTGTCGGACAAAATGTTTTTATTGATAATGTTGTACAATCAAAAGCTATAAGTTAATATAGATTAGAAGTTGTGAGATCTTCCGAAATATTTTAAAAATAGAGTTAAAAAAAATGTCATATGTATGGGCGGTGTCTTTTACATGACCTTGCTAAAAAAGAAATTTATATGTATTTATCCTAATGATGTAGTTATAGATAAGTTAATTTTCCATAAAAATAGTAAGTAATAAATAGAGCACGTAATAGTATTGTAACGTGTAAAAAGTTTTTTACTATTAACTATTGTTAACTTTACATCGTTCAATATAATAAACGAATTCTATACACGTACAGCCGCTTTTTCACAGACATTTAGTGTTTACAAGCTAGTAATCTCAGATTGTTTAACGACAATATGTTTATAAGTAAGAGACATTGCAGTGTATAATATTGTTATTTATGTTTAAAAAAGTATCCGATTAGATACAGTACACAGAATGGACGAAAAAAAACACTAAGTCTTTGTCGGCATGCCAACTGCCTTTGGGCGCTCAGCGGGATCGTATAAACACTTGGCCGACTGCTTGCGTCTCTGTTCAATAAAAGACTTCCTACATACATAATACTGTTTTTTAATAATATCAAAACTCCGGAGAATCGACAAGTACGTTTACACAATGGCTGACATCATCTGGTAGTGCGACCGGAACAAAATGGCGGCCCCCATGACGCTGGCACCCCTTACAGCATGCGCCTTTTCCCCTATTGATTTCTCCGTCCGAACCTCATCGCATGCGCGTCCCCATACTCAGATAATCGCAGTAAACGAGTGAGATGTAATGCGCGTCGCATCCGTGTGACAATAATACGACTCCCGGAGGAGAAAACACCTCTGACGCACACTATTATTATATTATTTTCAGGAATTGAAAAGGACTCTTTTTTTTTCCATTTCGCCCTGCCTACCCAAACGTTGCAGTACTATTGTGTTACACATCACCAATGTCTGTACGCAAAAGCCCGTAGTCGAGAGGCGGCATCCTAGTCCGCTTTCCCCCCAGCCCTGATCGTAAATATGTATACACGTATTCCTTTTGTCTTCACCCCCGTGCCTGTCGACGAGTTCGTCCATATTGTTAAAACACAGTTATAGAAATGTACGCGTTGGAAAATGGTATAAGATACGTGAAACACTATATAAACCTACACCCGTTTCGAGTGCGCTAAAAACATTTTGACAAGCTAAATCGTAAGAGGAGCGTGTGATGATAAATCGATGCCAAGACGGTTGTATCTCCGAGCCGGTGGCCAACAACTAAAGAGATAAACTACTGGCACAATATTAGACGAGAGCACGCGCGTCTCGGTAAACACCATACACCTTGTTAGGAATTAAGTAACAAACGGATGATTTTGATTTTTCTCCTCTCTTTTTTGAAACGACGCTAAAACGAGAAAGAAGTACATTATTTTTAATGTTGTTTTCGCGGTAGAATAGAAAAAAATTAAGGACAAAAGTAAAATAATGGGATCTTCCACACTTTATACAATTCAAACACAATAGTCCAGTCGAATAATCTTTATGATTTACTGGCTAATACTTACTGAACGGAAAAAAAAAACAATTACATTATACCAACAGTAACTTTTTCTGTGTAACCGTAAACATGTGTCATTTAAAAATCATCGATTAAGAGTTTTTGTTGTTGTTTGTTTTTGTTGAGTCTATTTTCATATGAATAAATATTCATAAAAACGCACAAAGTCATGACTTGTTCAGAAGATTGCAGTTGCTACGTGTGCAACAACAAACCGGAAAATTGCGATGATACAGACTTGCCTTACGAGACGTGGACAAAAATGTACGAGGATAACAAATTTATTTTCGACAGTATTCAGTGTACATTACTCTTCGGGTTAGGCATTTGGGTTTCAAACCACCTGAGTTCTGACATTTTAATGGACTGACACAATTATTTATTACATTTATTTATATTTGTTCACGAGTTATTAAATAAACACCAGTAACGTTTATAATCGATGATGGCCTTTACGTTATTAGTCAGTAGTATAAGTGTTGTATTGTGTTGATGCAATCAGTGTTTTCCAAAGCACATTTTATAGGAATATTACAATTACAATTGAATACCGCGGTGCATAAACGTTGAAAAAATATAAAAAAACAGTATTTCTCTGTCAATAAATGACACGCGCAATTTGAACAATTAGAATAATATTGTTAATATTTGAGTACGACCAAAACAAATGTGAAAAATTGATTTGATGATTTTTAAACATTAGTGAAATCGAGTAGAAATCATTGACAGCGTAGGCTAATCGAAGAGACAATTGACAGGACGACATACATTCAATAAAGATAATTTGAACGGTCGTGAAACGTGGGAAACGCGTTAAATTATGCGCTCTATTTATAATGTAATATTTTTTAAAAACTGTGCGGTTGTCACACGAGAGCGCGAATTTCTGTTATCTGTTAATAAACTGTTGAAATCGAAAAACCAGTATGGTAAATGTTATCGTCACAAGTCCGACTCCAAAAGGTTTGACCACAACATCCTTTTCACGTTTCTTGGCGTATCCGAACCGAATTTTAGATAAAATTGACAAAATCAATTTATTAATTCGCAATCGTTGTTTACATTCGATAATTCTATTATTAATTGAACAAGTTTATTCATTGACTACATGATGTTTTTGTATAAGTAATAAAATAGTGTTGGGTGAAATAATTAGACGATGGACCTTAGTGAATATATTGGTTGCTATAGGAGGTTAAATACAATAATTCCATTGAAAACAGTGAATTTACTATTGTGTTTAACTAAAAATATACTTCAGTGCGAAATCGATAAATCGGATTCAGTTAACTTTACAATTTGAACAATTTTTATGTTTTGTTTAGATTTTTAATGTATCTTACCGCTCCTGATTCCTTTTCAAAATCGCAAATGCCGTTTGTTGGTGGCTGATATGAAGTAATTGGCATGTTCGGAGCAAACATCAACTGTAAATTGGTACCGGTCGCTGTAAATGCCTATAAAGAAAATTTCACTTTATAATATTCAAACATTTTATTCTAATGCGAAACTTGATTAATTGATTAATATAATTCATCGGTAGGTTTTAGCAATTTGTTTGCAACACATGTAAATTAACAGGTTGTTGGGTTTAATGGATGAGTAATCTAGTAATTGATTGGGGCATCCTAAAAACTTACCCAATCGAAATGTATTCAAGTAATTACTTTCATTTGGATATTTTAAATTGTTATTATTTATAACAACTGTTTGGAACGATAACACAATTTATTCTCATATTTTCATGGGTAAATTGAAAAAAGTCAGCCTTTAAAATATTTTTAAGGGTTTAATTGTATTAAATTAAAAAAAAAAAATGATAATTCTCTAAAAATATAAAGTAATTTTCTAAAGAATTAAGAAAATTGAAATTATTTTAGCATGGATTTAGAAAATAATTTTAAATATAGTAAATTTTATATATAATTAAAAAAATAAATAATTAAGTTTTACAAAATAGAAAATAATTACAAATTTCGCTATGATATTTTTTGTAATTAGTTGTATGATAACCAAAGAATAATTTTTATTTAACTGAAAATAGGAAGCATTAGTCTTAATATTTCTTTTATATGTTTCATTGCTTTCTCTTATAAGAAACCAACAATAGTCACCTATCATTGCTTCATCCCAAAACTCTTGGTAACGAAGTTCTATATCATTTATTTGTTAATGAAAACGTTCACCATGCTCATCGCTTTCATTTCCAAAATTTTCAGAAAAAAAATTTAAATGTGCATGAAGAAAATATATTTTCAATGACATGTTCACCCCTATTTCCGATAAAATTAAAAAATATACACGTATCTTTTATTCAGAAAATAATAAAATTATAAAATGTACTGTTTACCTATTTTTGAATAGTTTATCAATAAATCGTTTACTATTTCTCTATGATTTAAACTTTTGAAGTTTCCTAAAAAATAATTTACAACCAAACGAAACGAGTTCCATACTAAAGCCTCGTCTTTTGATAAAGTTAACACAAAATTGGAGTCGTTCATTAGTTTTTTTAATTGTGGTCCTATGAAAATACCTTCTTTGATTTTTGCATCAGACAAATGTGGAAACACAGTTTTCAAATAAATAAATAAATTTCCATTTTTATTTAAAGCTTTAGCAACATTTTTAAAAAGTCCAAGTTTAATATGTAAAGGTGGTAGGATTATTCTATTTTTATTAACCAGAGGATTCAAACTTTAATTTTATTTTAAATACGAAAATTTACCACAACCCCTCCAAACTGTACAATTAACTCAGTTTAAAAATATCCCAATAAAACTATATAAAATAAACTTAAGTTATTTAAAAAATCAAAATTTTGTTTTGAAAAGTAATATTGTGAGTAATTTTTCAATATTTTTTTCTATATTTTACAAAATTGAAGCATCGAATTAAAAAAACTCTGATATTAGGAAATTTTTTTTATTTTTCAATCGCGCATAACTTCTTCATTTTTTTATTAATATTACAAAATAATATATCATTTTCTTTGTTATGTACTAGAGTATAATGTCTATTGAGTATATTGTTGATAAATTTATTTTTTATTAGTGTATTTTACGTAAAACTCTGAATTTTTTTTGACATTTTGAAAAAAATGATAAAAATTCAGTGGTAAATTCGTAGATAGCAAACGAGAAAAAAGTCAGATAAAAAATTGTTTAAGATAAAAGTTATAGGTAATTTAATATTGTTTTATTTTATGTAAAAAAAATGAAAATCGGTTAAATGCAATTAAAGATATTTAGAATATAATAAAAACACTTTCGCGGCACACGAAAAACGCCAATTTCGCAATAACTCAAAAACTGTTCTACTTTTTATATTTTGGACTTCATTTTCGGACTTAGTGGACGATTTCACATAAATAATGACTATTATAAGTCATGGGTCAGAAAATTTTTTTTTATTTGTAAACTACACTAGTTTACTACACAAGTAATAATCTGTAATCTATTTAAATAGATTTACATTTTTTTTCTCTTTATTTTTTGATTTTGTGTACATATATTTGTTAATTAAACTATATTTTACTGTAATATAGTTGTTAATAGTAATAAATAATGTATATTAAAATTGTTCTAACTAAATTAATGTTTCAACAAATTTACTGGCTTGCGGTACAGTTTAATAAAAAATATATGCATTACGATTTATAAATACGTATATACGAAAATTTGATTATTTTTACAATAGATATTTTTATTGAGGCGTCGTTATTTGATAAATATATATTTAATTGTTTTACAGTTTTAATTGCATAAAAATTATCATTAAAATCCACTTACTATGTCTACGTGACCTTCGCGACATCCAATTTGAAATCTGCTCTGACGTTCTTCGTGCGGTCTGTCTCTATAACCGGTATACCGTATCTGAAACAATATAACAATTTTTAGATAGACTTATGATTTTCATTTTGGCTAATTCAATACATAATCTCCTTATTAAAACGATTATTAATGTTCTTCGACAGAAATAGCCTTGTCATTAAAAACCAATCAATTGGTTGGTATCGGTTAAAAACGCAGTATAGGGATCTTCTCACAGACCAAGTTCTCGGTTAAAAACATCAGTGATGTGGTGGTTACGTATTGGGCCAACACATTCACGAAAACAAGTTAGTCATCGGCTCATGACGTATTGATATGTATCTGTGTACCTAATTATTCGTATGACTACAAGAGAAAGTGACACGGCTGCGAAAACCTGTGTGTAATCTCACTGATTTTAGATGATATTATCGTGTAATTGAATCGATGTTATAATTAATCGCCATGAATAAAAATGATTGTCTTCAATAGCGTTTGTTTTGAAACATATGAGTGGTACATTATAAAAAAATTATAAGTAATTGCAATTCTTTCAACATCCAGAGGACTTTTACAACAAACAACGCATTTGCCTAGAGACATTAGGCTATTGCATTGGGAACAAGCTTATGTAATGTTCAACTATTTACGTAAGGTCGGGGATTTTGAGTGATTCACTGCGAAAAATGTAATATGCGTTCAAATTTACATTGTTTTAATTAAATATCAAATTGATTAGTAATGAATGTTAATACTAATACATGTTATTCTGTTGACCACTACTAATGGAAATGTTTCAAAACGAGGCAATAATTAGTCAAAAGTAGTGCATTTTTCAGCTTTAAGACATCCGGTATACAACACAAGTGATAAACTATCATTAAAAAACACAATTAACCCGTTCGTAATCAATCTTGAATGATGTTTAGTGCGCTTTATTTAAGTGATATATTTAAACTATTAGTGTGTCTATGTTCAGAAGAAGTGTAAACGTTTACGAAGAGCTATTATAATAATCGTCAAAATACAATTATTAATTTGTGGTAAAATCATTCATAGAGTAAAAAAAATTATAGATAAAAGTAATAGTATTCTAATATCTAATCATTCGTTATTTATAGCATATATGAAAAAAAAATTTAATTTGTTTAAAAATATGAAAACTAACATTTGATAAAAATTAAATAAAATATTTTTTAAAAGTTTTGTGGCTTGACGAAATATTTTTGATATTTAAAGGTATGTATTTAGAGTATTAGCATGTTGGTAGAGTATTTTCCGAGTAAAATCAAAAAGATAATTCATTTTTATTCAAGTTACAAATCTCATACAGATAATAATTTAACAGTGTAATACGTTTACTGTTAAAAATATAGAAATAGGAATACTTAGAAATCTTCAAGGAAAAAAAACCATAAATGTTATAAAATATATTCCTTTAAAGCACATAGGACAGCAGCATTACTAGTCATTAAATTTATTAACAAATTAAAGATGTGTATTAAAGTGGAACGTTTCAAGTAGACGATAGTAAAAAATCAATTCTATCGATTCACCCAACAAATTATTAATAGTACAAATAGAAGTTATAACATAATAAGTACCTGAATGAGATATAATATTCTTTAAATGGACGGCAGTTTACATATGAGTGTTGTGTTATTATCATAGTTATTACACAAGGGCGATCGGACTATTGTATGTGTCGACTGGGCAAATGTAATAAAAAATTGTCCCAAATTCCAATGACACAATACCCTGGGCCTTTGACCGTGTTATTGCGTCGCCGGCCGTGATATTCTCCTGTCCTGTACCCAAACACAGTACACAAAAAATACGATTGCCGACCATGACGCGATAAATAACAGTCTTAACACTAAAGCAACCGAATCAGCGGGATGCTCTACCCTAAGGTCCTCAAAAATCATTTTTAAATACCAATACAAGTTACACGGTGTACGCCAACAAACGAGTCGAATTACACCGACAGTCAACATTCTACACTATGATTGCGACCTTTTCCTTTAGCGGTATCGAAAGTCATTCGCGCAATCATATTCAAAAGACAGAACCGGAGGGACCGGATGTGTTTCAGTCATACCTAATAGTCATATGTTATTATGCACCTAAAATGTGTGTCATTTATCTATTGTTGTCTTGAACAACCCAAATATTCACATTTTAGTCTGGAACTATAAAATTAAAATCATTTTTACATATTATGCAAAATTGACAATTCAAGTATGGCCTCTTTAAAGCTCGAAGATAATGGTTAGTAATATGTTACATCCAAAGGAGGCTAATCAAAATGTTCTCTTTTATTGTTATCGTGAATTTCATAAAAGAGAATATGTTCTTGTTATTAATGCAATTATACACAAAAACGGGGAATATTTACAGGGAAATCATTAATATAACCAACTTTATTTATATGATCCCCATTTTATTAGCATTTACCATCGCTATTATAATAACATTTTTAAATTACATTGTGAACCAAAATACAACACATTTTTTTATTAATCTCAATGATTGGAAAATAATGCCTAATAACGGGCAAAGTAATTATAAAAAAATTGAATACATTCTAAGTCACTATATATTTGAAAAGTATTATTAACAAATTATACTTTTTTCATAACATATATAACCTAAGATTTTTTACAGGATTTGACGAATAATCTTAGATCATGATTTTAAAGTATAATGTAAGGACTTATCTACGCGATTAAAACTCTAAACTGGCTAACGTATGAAAATTGACACACAGAGAGTCCTAATTTTTATAATTTGGCAATTTTGCTTTACGTCAGTTGTTTTTTAAGCTTGTTATGAATTATATGTCGATTAATTGATTAAGCTATTCAGTAAACCTAGGAATTCTTTTTTAAAAAATTTTCATTTTTATATACATTAAATTATAAAAAAAAACGCACAACTGTTCAACTGCAGGCAAGTTATAGCCTATTAAGGTACTACAATTTTTATTATTGTTGATTAGTATTTTATATTCGATAAAAGATTATTTAAAATATCATATAATTCTAATTGTGAATTGAGAAAACTCCCAAAAATAACCGTTTGTAATAAGAGTTTTTGAGATTATAGAAAGTTTTCAACAAATGTCGTATCAGGTCAAATAGAGTTACATATATTTAATATACATGTTTTCATAGATAGCCTGCTATTTCAAATAATCCACGATGCTATCAAAAAATTTTTAATTTAATGTATATCTAAACTGGAACCTAAAAAAGGAAGATGAACTCATCTATTTTCTTAAGTCACTCTGAGAAAGATAAACTTCTCAGCGCTCCCTCCTACTGTTTGCTTCCCAAATATGAAATTGTTGTAATCAAATAAACAATACTATTGCAAATAAATCGATTGGCTACCTTCCTCTATCAGGTACATCGTTGTTTTCAATGATTTCATTATCAATCGTAAAAAAGTCATAAACAAATGGCACAGTTGTAATTGTTTTTGTAGATAAGAACTAATAAACTATAACATTTTATGCGTAGGAAATGTTTTATTTGCGACTCTGAGATAACTATACTAAATTTCGTAGGATTAATTGTGTTTCTAAATTTAAATTTTATGTGTTACGAATAATAAAATCAATAATTCTGAGCCAATACATCAAATGTACTCACATCACTCTCGCGACTTAAGCGCCTGAATAATTCGTCCGTTTCGAACTTATTCCTTTGGTCAGGTACGACTCTGGGCATTTTAAATATAAAACGGGGTTTGGGGGCATGCTGCTCGTAAAGACCCCCACACATGGGGTCAAACGGTATCATGCCGGCCGTCATCGAACCCAAGTCGTTCATCATCAACATTTTGTTAACGATGTTTTCCACTGTTCTCCGATTACTGAGAGTACGCGTCCCGAGTGTTATCCGCCACGATCACTTCGACGAATATACTACACAGTAACAAAATAATATTGATAATGTTTTCGAGATCGCGTGAACAGTCGGACAGCGCAACGGTAGACGGCACGAAGGCACACGACCATTTACGCGGTTGAAAACTATAAAAATGATTTCCAGGGAAAAATATCTGTGGACCACCGCCACTACACGCTGACGACCAATCAGAACTCAATAGAGGCGTGTCTGACGTTCACCGTTCTTTTCAATGCAGTGCTACGGCTAGGGATCGTTGAACTGCAGTGCTTTTACGGTCACATATTATCCATATTATTATTATTCGTTAAAGACAGGCGTCTAATTATCTAATTTTGCCACATTGAGTCTTAAAAATTATTTCAGCTTTCAATTAAAAAATAAATATTTAGACGTTACAAGATAAGTAAAAAAATTATTACAGGAAGCCTTTTAAATCAAGTCTGAAATCAACAATGTACTAAATCAATGCTTAAATAACCTTTATACATTGTTAGTTATACCATAAACAGTTAATTGGAAAGTTAAGTAAAAATCGAGGAATAAAATCGAAAATTTTCACACATAAATAGCATTCGGTAGCCACTTTCACCGTGAAGACAAAATAAAGTCCGACATTTTTTTTACCATAATAAAGTACATTACATTAGCTTTAAGTTGGGATACATATAAAAGTGTCAGACTTTCCGGAACACTTTCAAAAGTTAAGTTGAAAAAGTTGTCATTTTAAATCCCCTCCTATGGGCAGGTAAAGGTTAAATTTATAAAAGAAATATACCAATTGATAGGTAAAGACATCAAGCGTCAATAAAAATTAAAATAATATTGATTTGTTCATTTTTGAAAAAGTTATGGCAGTTTTAAGAAAAAAAAACTGAAAAAATTTCGAAAATTATCGATTTCTAATTTGTAATTTTTTTGGAGGTTTACGGGGAACGTGGGAAATTTTTTCAATTTTTGAGGGTAATATCTTCGACTAGATACGATTTGTGATCTTTTGACGTATCATTGAAAGAAATCCGTTCGATGAGAGCTGAGAAAAAGTGGTAACAGACACAAAAAAAAAATACCTTCTCAGCTTCGCATCAAAGCTAAAAAAATGTTAAATTTATTAAAAAATTAAGATATGCTCAAGTCGTCTCGACTTTTTTTTATTATAATAATTTTAGAGAAAAAGAAATCTAGTTACTGTTAAACTTTATGTGAAATTTGATCATTATAAATATTTAAAAAATATAAATAGTTTATAAAATTGAAAATTTTGTACAAATAAATTATAGATAATTTCATTATATTTGTTAAAAAAAAAATCTTAAAATATCAGCTGATTTTCAACATTTCTCAACGGCCGTTTTAATAATTTTATATCTTCATATACCAGTAACTATTGAGATTTTAATAATTTAAGGATTTACAAGTTTTTAGAACACAATCTTTCACCGTGATAATGAAATGAACAAATTATAAAAATATTGCAATCAAACATAACACTATAGTGTATAGTGTATTTTGATATTTAATTTTTTTTCTCATAAACATATTTATTAAAAAACAATGTTAATTTGTCATTAATTACACTTATGCCAATAACTGTATACCCTTTCACATCGTGTGACGTAGCTTATAAGTCTCAACCAGGGCCGGTACAAAGGGTGTGCCTCTGCACAAGTCCTTTTTGTAGGGCCTTGCAAATTAAATAAAATCACCAAAATTGATGTTATTTTTGATTGAAAAAAATTGAGGAACCTTGAATACAAGGCATAAAGGCACAGCGATTTCTGAATTTAACGTAAACCTTGATACTCAAAATGTAAAATACAGGCAGCTGATAGAACAAAAATCACCAGCAAGTTTCACATCGCTCAATATCAGATACAGTGAAAGTAGAGACATCACTTGTAGCTCTGTCGCCTATTTCAGGCGACTCAAAAAAGTCGTGAGGCCTTCTGAAATCCTGGTATCGTTTTTAAAATTTTTATCTAATTGTGTTCAATTGTAAATCCTTCGTTGGAATTAAATAATACACCTTCAGATTCCTGGTACCATTTTCTTTGTGACACCAACTTATCACGTATCTGTGACAATTGTGTTGCCTATATAAAACTTCTGATTTCCGGTCATACATATTAACAAATAAAGGCGACTATTATAAAAGTAACTATTGAAATTATGTATGTATTGTTACTTACAAACAGTATCGGAAGAAGGGTAATGCAACTAGTGCACTTGCCTGGGGTCCCGCGCTTTTAAAAATGTCTCACAGAAGTAGATGAAAAGCAAAAAATGAGGTATTTTTCAGTAATAAAAGTAATATTTAAGGCCTCCGCACAACGTTTTTATAACATCTAGTGTTGACACTGTTAACAAACGTATAATAGGTTGATATTTTTTCCCTTATAGAGCTGTAAGTCTGAGTTTTAGGTAACTGAAAACTCATTATCTAAAGAGTATGCGTAATTCACTTTAATACAAAGTAAAATTTTGGTTTGGACAATTATAGTCAAAATACTACAGTGGTAGGAAAAATACACACGTATATATAATGTTAAACATAATTGTTTTTTTATAAATAGATAAAAAAATGTTAATTTAAGCACCCTAAATTCAAAATATTATTCACGTCTATAATTCGAAGGGCAATTTCTATGGGAATCATATTATTCTAAATTATGTTTGTATAATAGATTATTTTTTATAACAATTTTTATTTACTACCTGAAATTAAAGTAGTTTTTATATTATTACTCCTGATTGAGTAAAATATTCATATAATTGGTTTACGAATAAAAAAAATGATCAGTCTAAAAAATGTTGATTGGTTTAGTATTGATAAAATGTTATCAATACAGATCATAATTATTATCAGATAAATAATAAATAAAATTCTTTAAAAATGGATTACATTTTTTTTTAATAATTTGTTAAGTATTACATTGAATTTGTTACAATTATTAGTTCATTTTTAGACAAATTAATATTTTCAAGTTGTTAAGTTCACATTTGTACGATATTATGCATTAAAAATAATTATTACAAAAATAAAAAGTGCATTAGCTTATTAAACAATTCATAATAATAATCAACCTACTATTTTTTTAATTAACTTAATTTCTAACAAAAATAGAAAAGTATTATGAAGTTATACCACAAATTTATTTAATATTGATTGGATATTGAATTAGCACTATTATACACAGGAATGTAATACATAAGTTGTAACATGTACTCTTAATTTACGAATAAATAATTAAGTTAGTTTAAAGAATTCCGGTATGACATATGAGATATTTTTAGTTATACTCATTTATATTGAAGTCAGTCATTTATAAATATAAAAAAAACTTATTTTTTTTTATTACTTTTACTGTACCTTATGTATATAAAATTTAATGTTAAATTTCATTATTAATTAAATTTATAAATTACAAAAATATATTGTACATATTAAAAAAAAAAAAAATACAAAAAAAAAATCAAATATTAAGTAAATGAAATAATTATTGGACTACAATTAATACAAATAAAAATTGAGATCTGTTAAAATTAAACAAAATAAATAATAATTAACAAAAAGTACTAACAAAACTATGTGCAAAATAATAAATAAAATAAAAATATTTTAAGTTATTGTCTCTGTATAACTGAGTGACTATAGTAAAATTGTAAAAATAAATTTGTTACAATATAATTTTATATCTTAATAAACTTAACCTAAATATTATGTTATTTTTATATTGTACAAATAATAAGTTCTCTATTTAAACACTTAATTACTTTATACTTATCAAGATATCATATAAAATCACATAGTATATAATTTTGTTATTTGAATATGGCTGGTATTATTTACTTAACAATATATTTTAATATATTAATTTAGTTATAATATTATAACAGAATATAAAAAATATATCCAAATAAGAGCCATTTGTTTAATAGAATATGTAATTAAGTAAACATATATCAAAACATAATGACTAAATTATTTATAACTATATATTCCATAAAAAATGAATGATTTATTTTTCCTATAATGAAAGATGAATGTCAATAAAAATATATTATTATAACATTAAACTATACATAATCTTAACAGTTAGTAAACATTTAACAACATTTTTATTTAATTTCTCAGGAATATATTAAATGACTTAAATCTCAATTCACACACATTATAAATGTATATAAATATAGATATAATATATTTATTATAACTTGCCAATAGAAAAGAATAAGTTATTTACATCCATAAATACTTATACATAAATAGACGAGGAACAAATTTTATGGTTTAACTTCTTTTATTTGATTTAGTAATTTTTAATTACTTAAATATCAATAGTTTGCAGGAGTACATGCAATTGCCTAAATATATTTCCCAAACTACCTTGAACAGTTTGTCTTTTCAATACAAATGACCGAATAGTTATTAGTTCATTATGACATTTAAGACACTTGTTGTATCTAAAAAATAATAAAATAATAATTTAAAAGATAGGAAAAGTAAATAATATTCTACATTAAAACAAAAATGTATTTAATTTTGCAATATTGCAGAAGTTTTCTAATATCTTAAATACACGACTTTTTGAAATGAAAATCTTGTAAACTGTTTTATTTTATTTCAATACTAGGATTTTACATTTTAATATTTATTACTTCAATCTCAAGTTAAAAATTATAAAGAGATGAAATTGAAAAATTTTTCTTTAAAGGTAACCATGTGAGGAAATTAGAAAATGTATCATATAATATATGAGAAAAAATTAGGTCCATATCTATTAGTCACTATAGACACTGTGCTTCGAGTGTTTGTGAAATAAAGGTTTTATGCATTTTAAGAATTTTTCATTTTTTTATTTGTTACAATAATTTAAGTAAATATTTTTGATAATTGATAACATCACAAGTATCAAATATTATCCTTTTAGTTTTATGTGGTATTTATTTAAAGAAACTGTGTTATTGATTTTATTTATTAAAATTCATAACAATTAATATACTTACCGTTCTTCTTGCATTAAATCAACTCCTATAGCTGAAGGTGGTCGTTGTATGCTGTTTTTTATAATTGGCATAAAATACTGCAATATGTCCCTAATAGCTTTAAAACTGACATCAATGAAACTAGAAAATACATTTCAGTATATAAGACATTACATAATATATCATTCCCCATATTAATAGCAAAGAACAAATTATAAATCAAATTTTAATAAATACATTGAATTAAATAAAAAAAATAAATACATATATATATATATATTCATTTCTTAAGTTTAAATCCTTAAATCGAACATTTAACATCAGTGTTATTCAAAAGATGTCGATAACTCTCTGTTTTAATTAATTTTTCTATATATTATTCATTATTATTAAGAGGTTGCCCATTAAAACAAAATTAAAATCAACATTTGTTTTAAGGCATAATAAATTAACATATATAATATCTAACAAAGCTTACTCTGCAGATATGTATCTATCAAATTATCAGGGAGCAGTATATAGTTATATATACAAAATCATTGGTTTATCAAAAATCACTCGATTACTCTCAAATTTAATACAATATTAGAAAAACAAATTTTGATGTCTTTTAGTTACATATATTGATTTATCAATTAATAATGAAAAGGGTCGGTCTAGCCTAGTGGGTAGAAACATATGTTTCAGCACACAGGATCCTGGGTTCGATCCCCTGAATGTCTACAATATTTTTCTTGTAATTTTCTTATTTTGTAGCATTATAAATGTTTTATAGAATTGTATTAAACTTGAAAAACATTTTTTTTTGTTATTTTATAATTACGTATCAATTTTCTTTCATTTTTATTTTTCTTAGGTGTTTGTATTAAATAGTTAATTGATAAATTTACAATAATTATTTTATATTTTTGTAATTTTTTTAAATCAAAGTGTTTAATTTAACATTATAAATGCATTTTCAAGCTTTTGTTTTAAAAAAATTACAGAAAAATGAAAATATTAATAGTCATTATACATTGATAACTCATTGGAAATTAATTTTGGGAAGTGCATATAATGGTTAAATAAAAAACTGATGGCCAAAGATTATAAAAAAAAGAAAAGCTTACATTTCATTTCCACTTTGAATCAAATCTGATATAGTAGGAAGCAGCATACTACAAACATCAAGGCACCATAGTTTTCTAAAAATACATAAGCATGTAAGTTTTGTCAACATATTATTACACACACATTGTAAATAAAAATAGTTTTTAACTATTAAGTACTATGAAAAATTAATGTTATACACTACTAGCAATGCTTATTCAAAAAATGTCTTTTCAAACAAACTTTATTGAATTAAAGCATTATATATTTTTGTGTTATTCAAATTGAATTATTATTTTCTTATTTACTTGTTTTCTTTTTAATTATGTATAATGAATTTACACATTAGGTTAATTTAAGTTAAAGTAAATTTTTGCATAAAAGTTAATAGAAGTATCCAAAAGTTTCCAGAAAAGTTGTTTATGAAGCGTATATTTATGATTTTATACAAAATGCCTTCAATCTTCTTCACGGTACTCTCTATTAAAGACAATACAAATGTCTGGGGCACAACCTCGAACAAACCACTAGTGTAAAATTGTGTACTACAAAACTGCGCGCGCAGTAGTGTCATTCTGAAAACTTTTGGATACCGCCTCATATCAAAAAATTATTATTTAATTGCTACATACGGGCGTTGAGTTATAACAGATATAATATCAGCTACAACAGCATCATCATTCATAGTCACTGCTGAATTGACTGCAGACTATAATAATTAAAAAATATTATATAGAAATGAAAAATTATAATATCTATTATATCACTTACTTTAAAATTTTTATTTAACCACATAGTTTGTATGATATTTAGATTATGTTGCCTTTCTTTTAAAACTCCTATTGTAGACCTATGATTTTTAGAAAGGTATTCAATAATATCATTTTCATCAGTTATTGAATTAAGATTCTAAAATTTAAATGATTATATTATTATAATTTATGCATAAGGCTTATTAATTAAATTACATACATCTTTCATGTTTTCAAAATCATTTAATGGGTAACTGAACTTTCTATTTAATGTTTCAGTCTTTTTATGATCTTGCGTAATCATAGACTGGTCAGAAGGTAATGTTCTTTTCTGATAGAATGGTGTTTCATCATGAGAAATTTTTCTTTGCAATGGTGGAGAAGTGTATTTACTTCCATAAATGAAATTATCTTAATAGAATAATTATAATAGAATAATTTATGTTTGGAAAAACATTTAAAAAATCATTCTCATGATACTTACCATTTTGTTTAAATACTGGTAATGAAGATGGACGTTTGGATACATTCTCATTAGCTAAATTAGTTGAAACACTTCGCATTGAAATTGATGATGTTATATACTGATTGGTTTTAGGTTCAGAGTGCTCAATAATACTTGGTGAATTATAAGAAGAATTTACCAGAGGACTATAATAATCACTTCCTTCAGTTGAAATATTATCTTTAATTGAATGTGTTGTCTGGAATAATTCACATTGAGTAGATTCTATAGAAGATGTATCAGCTTCTGAATAACTACTATGCATTGACATAGTTTGAGGAATATCTAAATGAATAGTTTTATTAAGAATTTCAATAAATAAGTTATTATAATTTTAATTTTACCATAGCTGTATTTTCTTTCATCCGCTTTACTAATTCCTATTGATGTAGACAAGTGCATTTTGTTTTGAGGATTTTTATTCACTGAAAAAGTAATACTACTATGTATTTTATATTTTCATTTTTAAAGAATATAAATACTCAATAAAAAATGACATCATTCAAAATAATTATATTCTAGTAAATAAAATGAAAATTTATCAATATTTTTCCATATAAAATTTATTGCAATTTTTAATATTTATGTACAATTAACAAATATTATATTATATTAATTTTACAATAATGGTACTAATATATTGAAAATATATCAAGCTATGAAGTGAAAATAGAAAATTTGTTGAATATAAATAATTGAGTTTTTCTATATTTCAATAATTTTTTTTATTATGTTATCGAAAGTTAGTAATTTAATGTTAATAGATTTTAAAAACTATATAACTATGTAAAATGAAATTAAATCTTAATATCTATATCCTGAGGTACAACACATTTCTGGCTGGTTATACTTTATCATATTAGATATATAATTAACTAAATAAAAAAAAACATTTCAAAACTTTGAACCGATTAAACTACATTTTTAAAATATATATTTTTAAAGCTCAGCATTGAAGTTAAAATATTATCAGGATTTATGTCACTTTTTAGTTTTAATTAAGTGTAATTTAAAAATATAAACATACCATCAATAGAAATGTGACTGTTCATTAAAGGACTCAAGTTATCTAAAAAAAAGAAATTTAAATTTGTAAACTTAAAATAAATTATCAACTGTACTAAAAATATTTTTAAGACTATGTTTATTAATAAACAAAAATGATTTTAACTTATTTAATTTGAAAAGAATAAAAACAGTTGAAGGTTCCTAATTTTAGAAACTTACCCAATCCATATATAAATTGTTATATTAGGACTACATAGAGCATATCATCTTTAAAAAATAATTTGCTCATAAAATTTATTTTAATAATAAGTCAAACAACAAAATAAGGTTAAATAAGATGCATCAAAAATAACCATTTATTTGTTTTTTAAGAAAGAAAAAAATTACAAAAATTATAATCATTTTAGTCCAAAGAGAATATAAATCATATCTTAAATACTTCCATATAACAAAGAAATTCTCAATTCAATCACACATTTAAATTTTATGTTATTAAAAAAAAATTCATTACCTTCTTCTGACATTGGTGAGATAGGAGGTGGACTACGGTTTACTGAAAATAAAATGATTATTAATTGATTAAGAAAGGCCATTCGTATTTCCAAAAAGTATTTAAATTTAACTTGCAATTCAAAAGTTTCTTAGATTAAACACTTCTAATGAGAAATATATTCTTATATTAACTTATATTCATAAGTTAATATGGTTAATAAAACATAAATATTTAATGCTTTATTTTTAATTTAATGATTTGCACAACATTTCTTAGTCCTTTTATAGCCCAGACACATCAAAAAGCAATTGTATTTTTTTTAAGTGACACAATAGTAGTACAATAATGCAACCAACATTAAAAAATATAAATCTAGTTATTCTAAAAATATAATATAAAAAATATTCCAATAAGAATAATAGGAACATTTTTTGGAGAAAAATCATATTGGAAGCATTTAAACAAAATTAATATTAATATTTGTTTTAATGCATAATAATTTAACAGTGATTATTCTGTACTAGGCTACGCCTACGGCGCGTAAGCCTCTTCGGGCCGTCATCATAAGTAGGCCACTGATTCCGGTAGAAGTATCCGGCTACGCCGGGCACGATAAGTGTTTTTCAGAAAAAATATTACTTCAGAATCAGTGAAAACTATATCTAAAAATGTTATTATTAAAATCAGGAAAATTCAAAAAGAGAATATAGTAAAATGTATTGGGTATAAGGTTGAAGCCTCTTAATGAGGTATTCCCTTTAGGCCTATTCAAAAATTATTTTAGGAGGAAATTTAATATTTTTTACTTTGTTAAACATGTTATAGAAATTTTTTTGCTAAAATTAGTAACAATAAGACTTACGGGTTCTGTTAGGTTTAAAAACAGAATGATAATCAATTACGTTGTTAATAACTGCTTGATTATCTTCTTCAACTTCGGTTTCACTCTCATCAATTAATTTCATATTGGCTCTAGATAAAAAATTTAATTACATGGTATAGTTTCATTTAACTTATAAAAGTTAACAGAAAATGATAAAAAAACAAAGTATATTTTGTTTTTGGTATTTTGAAAATGTATGTTATATAATTCAAATTCAATGAATGCAAAATACTATATGCAATACATATAATATATGTATTGCAACACAATACATGTTAATAGGTGTCCGTTCCACGGTTTGATTATGTAACATAGTGTAATTTAACTTTCTTTGCAAGGGACAAACTATATTTTAAACTATCACAGTCATTCATATTTTATTGTTATAGTTATAACTTTCAATTAAAACACAAAAAATCTGTTCAGAGATGAACAATAAGACTGCATACACTATAGGTATAAGAGTTTAGCGCATAAAGAAAATGAGATTGTTCCCGAGTTAAGGGGATAAAGAGTCGCAGTGTGGCAATGGTTACCATGCCAACAGCTGGTTTGAACCGCCACATTAAATTTTTTATGACAATAAAAGATTACTGATTTTAGCCTCTCCTGAACCTATTTTTCAAGAGGACATATCTCTTTTACTCAGCTAATGGGCTCACACGTATAATGTACGATACCTTAAATAGTAAACAATTTTAGCGAAATGAAAAAAAGGAACATCATGTCCCTCTTTTGTTCTTCCTTCCTAATGAGTACTCACACATACACTTTAGGTACAAGAGTTTGCAGTCATGAGAGAGAGGGGGCATTGCAAAGTTAAATGGAAAGTCACCATTTACTTGTAGTGACACATTACCAACAGCTGGTCTGACTCGCTGAAAAGTGTTTCTCATCAATAAATAAAAGTACATACTTTGGTTTAATTATTTCTTGAGTTTTTTGCTTATTAAAACTTTTTCTAATGCCAGCATCTCTGGTAAATAATGTATTACTGGCCTTAAGTGATTTATCTGGTGGTGAAAACTGATTTTTAAAAGGATATCCTTCTGGTAAATTAATAAGCCATGTTGAAACGTTAGTTAAAACATGAGTGGCACCAATCTAAATTAAAATTAATTATTTCTTAAATAGAAGTATTATAACTTAATTTGAATAATATATAAAAATTCTGGTCCAATTAAAATTATAAATATTTAATCCAATACAGTAAATTTTTATACATACTATTTGATTATCAGTGACAGCTAGTTCATTAACTGAACCCCAATTAAGAGCCAATGAATCACAAACTCTTGTTGGTTCCCAGCCGTAAACACCGAGATAATCTGTACCTCCACCATAGACAACATCTCCTTTAGCACTAAACTGTAAACATCTGTAAAGATTTTTAAAACCATAATAAATAAAACAATGTATATTATAAATATATAAAAATCTTATAATCTATATTATATACCAATATTTTGGTCAACATGCATCTAAAAGTTAAACTGTATACAGAGTGTTCAGTAAGTAAGGAAACAGGTAAATTGTTACAAACAATGAGATTAATAGAAAAAACTCATTTCTTTACCTACTAATCACCCTATATATTTAAATATACAGTAGTCACTGCTTATCAGGCTCATTTATAACTAGACCATTTAAGTCCATTAACTAAGTGAGTCAATAAGGCAAAAGAATCTCAAAAAAAATGAAATATATATACAAATTTAGAATATTTATTAAGATTTCAACTTACTTACACAGAATTTAAATAAATAAAAATACATATTATCATAAAAATAATAACATGTAAACTACTAGGACCGACCCCAAGTAGTTCGGATTAAGACAAGGAAAAAGAAGAAGATAAAAATAATAACATGTATTTATACATTTAAAAAATAATTTTGACAGAAAGTTGATAATTTAAATATGTATTTATCTATATATTTGTTTGGTAAACTTAATTAATTCTAATAGAATACTATGCAGTGTCAACTAGGTTTTCTTGCCTTTAGTAAAAATATTTTTTATCATTTCAAGCAGCCAACGATCACTGATTTATTGTAAGAAAATAATTTAGATTACTTTTGTGATAACACAATTCAGGTACTGTAAAATTAGGTGGAATAGCCTGTTTTTATTTTTGTCATATTGTTACATAACCCAATTAATCGGTATAATAAGTCTAATAAATGAATATTTTTCTGTACGTTAGTATAGGTGTAAATTGGAAGCCCATTTAGTTCATAAACCATGAGTTCAATGAGTGATGACTACTGTATAACAGATTTGTCTTTAATTTATTTCAAAAAATTATTTTTGTAACAATAAGACCATTTAAAAAAGTTTCAACAATTAAAAAAAAAAAACAATATATATATATATGTGTTAAAAATAAATATAAGTTCAACATTATATTAGAGTTATGAAATTTCAATTAGTTAACCTTAATATAATTAGATATTTGTATTTTTTATTAGTATTTAATATATTGTGCCATATAATCAACAAAATCTGTTAGGTCTTTGAATCAAGTTATAGATAAAAAATAAAAAAAGCATAGTGAAGTTGTGGCACATTATGAACATGGCATAGTTGGGACAGATATAAATGATATCTAACAGTGATTTAAATCACTATCATAAGAAACGTTTCGATGCAAATATTTAGATAGTGTTTAATTTTAAGAAAATGGTGGATTATACCAAAAGAAAAATTAACTTCTATTTTTTGTTCAACTTCGACTGCCATTTGCACATAAAAGATAAGTTGTCAGGACAATTTTTTTTTTTTTAATTTATAGTACATAACATAAATTTGAATGTAACATATGTTTAAAGAACGTAGTATTTCCAAAACATTTTCAAAAGTTAACATGAAAAAGTTGACTTTTGTAAAAAGTTGCTATTTTGAATCCCCCTGTGGGTAGATAACGGGACAAAATTTAAAAAAAAAAAAGTGATCTCAAATGAAAGGAAAATACCTAGGTTTTTATCTAAGAAAAAATTATTTGATTTGTTTATTTTTGAAAAAGTTATAGTAGTTTTAAGATAAAAAAATGAAACTGTCAAAATTAATAGATTTTAAAAATTTCAATGTTTTTGGGGATTTTCTCCATTTACAGGAGACATGGGAAATTTTTTCAATTATTAAGGGTAATGTCTTCAACTAGAAATGATTTGTGATATTTTGATGAATGGTTGAAAGAAATCGGTTTGGTGAGAGCTTAGAAAACGTGGTAATAGAAACAAAAAAAAAAAAACGTAGTAAAATTAATACCTTCTTAGATTCGCATAGAAGCTAAAAACTCAATTGATTATTAACAAATTGATATTAATTCTTTATTAATGGAAAATTACATAATTTAAAAATTAATACACATTTATAAATACCTACCAATTGTTATACATGATTCAGTTACCTTATTGTAGATTTTTTAGTTTCTATTTGAGAAACAACATTAAATCTTTCCAAATCTAAAATGTTAATCTTATTATCTGTACCACTGCTTGCAAGCAAAAATACTAAAGGATGAAATTGTATTGATGTTACAGTTCCTTTATGGAGTCCATCAAATTCATGAAGCATACGACCAACTCTTAAATCCCATATCTACATATTAAATATTAATATTGGTTGATTAAAAATTTTAAATATAAATATAAATACAACCAATGATAAATTTTAATAGTATTGATAATATAAAAATAAATATATATATAATATGTGATATTAAAAACACAAGAGAAAAATTAGTAGATTATAATATATCCTTGAACCTTATAAAAAGTTAAGTGCAGTTGGGATCCAGTGAATTCTTTTTTTGATAAGTTTAGATTGATATTTAATAGTTTCCCCTCATCATAATGACTTTTTTTTTATATTGAACAATCTGGGGAAGATTCTTGAGAAGCTGCTAGTCTCCTGGCTTGAGCAGCACTTGACAAAGTAAGTGGGCTAGCGGATGGTCAGTACAGTTTCTGCAGGAGAGGTCAACGGCTGGCTTTATTTACTGGCCAGTACAAATTCACTCTTCTACGAATCATTGTTTAGGGAATAGAGATCCCACTGAATGATTCCATGATCTATCTAGGTCATGGATTCTTGATGGGACTCTTGTTATTGACAAAGATTTGATGTCAGGCTGCATATTACTAATGCAATCCATTGAGTCCAGAAAATTAATTATTTTTAAAATTAAAATTAACTCATATAACTTTTTGATTATATTTAAGAGACTTTTTTTTGAATACCCAACTAAATAAAATATAATTTTGAGAGTTTCTCCATTATTCGAAAAAAGAATTGTCACAAAATAGAGTAATGAAATTAAAGACTTGAAAACTAATATAAACAAGTATTTTATTAGTATATTATTATATTATTATTATCAGTAGTAATAGTATTGACTTAGGGGGAAGGCAATACATAACATTTTTTGCTACTCTATCCAGATGAAAAAAAAAATTGTATCTTCATCATTAAAATATTTTTTTTTTACATCAATACCTCCATAAATATAAATATACTAATTTAGGATATAGATCATAAATTTACTTCCATTTACAAAAAAAAAAACAAACAAATGAAATTAAGTGAGTTATAATTACCTTAACACCACCTTCTTCTCCAGCAGATGCAATCCACTGACCATCTGGACTAAATTTTAAACAAGATATAGGTCCCTCATGACCTTTATACATGTATATACAATTTTTATGCCTATAGTCCCATAGCTACAATATAACAGAATAAAATGATAAATTTATACAATAATATAAATATATATATATAATGTTAAAGGAATTTCAATTGAATAGAAATCAATCTACTGAAATTAATATTGAACTTTCTAAATAGAATCTTTAAAACTCAAAAATTTCTAAACATATAGTATGTGTTTAACGTTGATAATGGTAAGATTATTTTCGAAATACATATATGCAATATTTTAATAATTTTTTGTGGCTTTTTGAATTTAATATATTTTAATTTAAAATTTTAAATAATTTCTAAACCTTAGTTAAAATAATATATATTATTATTGAAATTTTTATATAACAAAAATATTTTAATTTTTACCTTGACATTGGTATCCTTGGATCCAGACACAATATAATTTCCTAAAGGATAAAAATCTAACTTTTTAATAGCTGACTTATGACCACTAAATGTTCGTAATATTTTTACAGCAGCTAAATCCCATACTTTAAGAGCACCAGTTTGACTACCTGCACCAACTAATTCTTCAGAATGATCAAATTGAACACATTCAATAGGTGTTACATGGCCACACAAGCTCTAAAAATTATTTATATTAATAAGAATGTTAATATTTTTCATTAATATACAATTTTAAATTAAAAGAAAAATATTAGCAAAATAAAGGAAAACTATTGTAATAACAATTTTACATATGAATTAAAATTCATATTAAAAAGCAAAATTTAATTCTAGAAAAAATGTGTTACAACAAACAAAATAATCAAGAAAATTTTTTTAAATTCTCTTAAATATATTATAAAGACATACATTACTTAACTATATTAATTTAATTAGATTTATGTACTTTATGTACAAGTAAAATTGAAAGCAACATAATTTCTAAGAATTATTAATTTAAAAAAAAAAATTTAATTTTATTAAATAAAAATACATTTATTAGTTTCAATTTCAAAAATTTTATTTTTATTTTTGTACTGATGTTGAAAATATAAGCATTGAATATATAAATTCTATTTATATAGTTAAAATAAAAAATCCCTTTAATGATTAAAAGATGAATTTCTAAAATGCAACATCATTAAACAAGTTAAAAAGTTTTTAACCACAAGTTTTAACTGTCACTTACCATGATACATGTTTCATTTCCAACAGCCCATAAATTAACTTTGTTATCTGCACCACCAGTAGCTAGCACTCGGCCACCGCATTTTTGACCAAGTGCTAAACACGAGACTTTGGTGTTATGAGCAGAAAATTCTTCTGAAAATTAAAAATAAATTTAAAAAGAAATTCACAATACTACATGGTAATATAAATTTATATTATAAAATAAATCTATGTATTCTATGTTTCAAAAATACTTTAAAAAATACTTACGTAATTTACAAATAAGATCATTTTGGTTTGCCATTCTATAGGCTTATCTGAAAATACGAATAGTTATTTACACAAATTATTAATATAAAATAAATTATTTCACAAAATTATATGTTCATATTAAAATATTTTACTTGTTTTGTTCAAATACTTCAAAAATTCTCTAAATATATTTCATAAGACTCAATAAAATTAGATTTTAATACTAATCCGAATATGTTTCATGTATTATAATATGAACATATCATTATTAATCAATTTAAGTTTAAATATACCTCAGTTTATTTTGCAAGATTGTTTATCAAGGCATTCTAGACAATTTTTGTAAGACTTTTTATAAAAAAATTTACTTTACTTAGATCCTACTATTATTATAAAATTCTATTTTTAAGATTAATTTACTTTTCTATTGATATTATGCTTACATTGTTATCTGAGAGAAATAATGGTCTAGTTTATTTGCAAAAGAAGCAAAAAAATTTGGTTTTATCACAGAAACTTGTGACTCAAAAATATTGGTTTTGGAATTTATATAATAATGAATAAAAATACCTTTCTTTAAACTTCTGAATATGTTATGTTAATATGTATTGAAATTTAATTTTTATAAAAGTGAATTTGGATGTTAAGCTTCTCATATACAGACTTTAACATGTAAATAACAGAAAATAGATTTTTAATAACAGCAAAATGAAACAAATTTATCCTTCAACTTAATACAATAAATGTATAAAATTAATGGTAAAATAGAATTACTAAAATGATTCATAGAATTATCAAATAAAATAGTTCTCCAAAAATATCATTACAGAAAATAAAAAAAATATTTATTTTAAATCGAAAAATTATTTATTTCTGCATAAAATAACTTACTTTCACTAATGTTGCAATATCATGAATAAGTTATATGTAATTTCTAGGATTGTTATAAGCACTATATGACATTTTTTTGAAATACGCAAAAATTTCCAAAAAAGGTAAATCGTTTAAGATAGCTGTAAATTGTATAAATACTGAAACCAATTTTTATTATTTAATGTCGTTGGAGGGTTAGCCTTGTCACTCATCGCTCCTCCAATATTGTAAGATAGTGGACAATGATAACATTATAGTATTATTTTAATGATTATAGACAAATACGAAGCATCCAATTTCTTATCATTATAAGTTTATGGAACAAAAATGTGGTTATATTAATCATAGAGTAATTATTCTATGACATTAATTCAATAAGAGGTAGTTAAAAAAAAAATTAAACGATAATTATAAAAATGGTTAAATTCATAGACATTATAATAAGTAAATTTGTTTATTTATTTAGTTTAAATGTTGAAAAGTCTAAAAAATTGTATTTTATATGTTTAGATTACCACTTTATATTAGAAAAGAAAAATGAAATAATAAGAATACTAAGTATAATATATAAAATAAAACTTTTAGCTTCGATGCGAAGCGGAGAAGGTATTAATTTTACTATGATGTGTTTTTTTTTTTTTTTTTTT